CTTTTGGCGGAAGCGAGACCTACAACAAGATGACGGTAAGTAAATTTTTATCAAGTTGTTTAGAGCCTCCTTAGAAATACCCCTGCACGAGCAAAAAAATATATCAGTCGTATAAAAAATAATATTGATTTTGCATGTTTTATTGCAGATCATAGTTTCTTTTACATTTTGGTTATTAATTATCTTAAATGTAAAAAAATATAAAATATGATTTTAAATATAATTTAAGTCTGTTTTTTTAGTCAATTCATTATGTAATACTACAAATGCTGAGAGAACGTCTAATAGACGTCTTGGCAAGACATCTTAAAGATGTTAACAAATAGATGTCTTAAGACGTTCTTTAGACACTCAAGCGAGTTTTAAATTAGATGTCAATGAGACACCTAATACTAACCTTCTTACAGAAGGTGTTAACAGGTAGATGTTTTAGGACTTCAGACGCTTACTTAAATTAGACGTTTTTACTTCAGATGCTTACTTAAGTTATTGTTAGACATCTTATAGACGTCTTTGTGCCAGCAGGGTTAACAACAACTTTACTTAACAATAACTTTACTTAACAACATCTTTACTTAACAACAACTTAACTTAGCAACATCTTTACTCAACAACATTTTAACTTAGAAACAAACAATTCACAAGCAATGCCCACCATAAAAACAAACAATACCCGCTCTAACAACATATAATACTCACATTGATAACAAGCAAACACGGTCGTAACATGTCAGATCAAATTTTAAAAATAAAACTTTTACAGTTTTACGGAACCAAGTTATGCAATAGAAATCTGTGTCATGCTATTTAGTTTATATAACATTAGTCTAATAAAGTTTCTTTCCTTTTTATTTAGATTATCTCATCACAAATTTTTTTCTTCTTATTAATAAAATAGTTTTAATTCAATATTGTATATTTTAGTGTTTTATTTTTTTTTAGTATTTGACGACAGCTGTTTTGATGTTTTAACAATTTAAATGCAATTTAAAAAATTGTTATGTTACGACTAATTTTTAATAGTTGTTTTTTTAGTTCTTATTTTATGCAAAGGCTTTAAATAAAATTAAAAATTTATTATAATGATTGTTTAAAACAAACACAATATGTGCAAATTAAATGTTATATTGAAGTTTTTATTTAGTAGGTAGGGGAGAAGGGGGCAGCTTTGAATTAATGCATTTGTGAAGAGCGCGTGTATTTAAATTTGATATATAGAATTATTTTAACATGACAATACTTATCCTCACATCTATCACTTGAATATGTTGCCATTTGATTAAAAGTGGACAAACTAGACGATATTTTTGTTTTTTAGTACAAATTTGAAACATTTTGATAAAAAGTTGTAAGAGTTTTCTGACCACATTTTTAACAAATGTTGAACTTTATGTTATTTATTATATAGATTATTTTATTCTCTATACAATGATGCAAAAAATTTCATAAAAAAAAATATTTTGTTTCCAAAAATTGGCATTTACTCTCTAAGACGCCATTGGAGCAGGTTTGAAAAAAATGAACTGGGCACCTTTGAATCATTGTAATTCATTCTTTCAACTTCCCGCACTTTATTGCTTCATTATTTACGGACTGAGTTTAGTTTATTTAATGATAAAAATGGTGCGAAATTATAAAAAAAAGAGAGTGACTGAAGTCATAGAGGAAGATGTCAATGATGCTGTTCTCCAAGTTGCAAATGGATTAATGAAGCCAAACGAAGCAGCTAAAACCTATAATATAAAACGTAATACTTTACATTACAGAATAAAGAAGTATAAAAATTCATTACCCAATACCAAGTTAGATTTGACAAGTAAATATACTGTCGCACAAGTATTTAATGAAGATGAGGAAATAATGTTGAAAGACTATCTAATAAAAAGCTCTAAAATGAACTATGGGTTGACATATAAACAAGCACAGGAATTAGCATTTCATTATGCAATGAAACTTTGCAAATGTCCAAGTAAATGGGTGGAAAATAAACAAGCTGGTATAGAGTGGTTGAAAGGCTTCATAAAACGCCACCAAGAACTTTCACTTCGAAAACCTGAAAATACGAGTTTGTCTCGCTCAACAAGTTTTAATGAGCACAATGTAAATCAGTTTTTTGATAACTATGAAAAAGTATTAAAAAAACATCATTTCACTCCTGATAGAATTTATAATATCAATGAAACCAACATAACGACAGTAGTACAAGCACCCCATGTTATAGCATCATGTGGAACAAAAGTTGGACAGTGTGTATCTGCTGAACGTGGACAACTAATTACTATGTGTGGTATAGGAAATTTCATTCCACCTGTCTTCATATTTCCAAGAGCATGGTTTCATGACACCATGTTAAAAGGAGGACCTCCTGGTTGTATTGGTTATGCAAACAGTCCAAAAAGTGGCTGGATGACAGGGCCACTGCTTTTAAAGGTTCTAGAACATATAAAAAAACTAGTCAGATGTTCGAAAGAGGATCCTGTTTTACTCTTAATTGATAATCATGAAAGCCATTGTACATTAGATGCCATTAATTATTGTTTTGAAAATGGAATGGTGGTTTTAACATTTTCTCCTCACTGCACTCACAGAATGCAACCTTTGGATGTGGCTGTTAATGGTCCTTTCAAGCAAAAGCTGTCTATTTCTCAGAACGACTGGCTTGTACGCAATCCGGGGTAAACAATAACAATACACGATTTAGTTGGCATTGTGACACCAGCATATAATACAACTATATTGCCAGGAATATTGTTGCAGGTTTTTCTACACCTGGAATATGTCCTTTTTTACGCCTTGCTTTCTGCAATGACAACTTTCAAAGTGCTGAAGTGACTAATCGTCCTTTGTCAGAAACATTCAGTAAAGCTACTTCTGATAATTCACATCAAATTCTAAATAAGCCTGAAGGCACAGTTATGCAAAAAGAAGATTTTAAAGTGGATTATAAGAAATTATGAGCAAACAAGTACAAGTAATGCCTTACAATCACAGCACACAATAACACCTGAATCTGTAAGACCATATCCAAAAGCTCTACCTCGTAAAAAAACTAATGAAGGCAGAAAAAGTGGGAAATTAACTAAAATTCTTACTAACATCCCAGAAAGAGAAGAAATAAAAAAATCTTATATTTTACGCAAGACAAAACTTCAAACCTCATTAGGAATTTCAAAACAAAAAACACCCAAAATTGGAGCTAAATCCTCAAAAGCAAAACTAAAACGAAAAATACTTTAATCTATGTTGAGTTATCGTAGCTTTAAACTATTTTGATTTCTGAAAGTTCAAATTTTGTTGCTTGTAACGATGCTTTTAAAATTTAATGTTATATATATATATATATATATATATATATATATATATATATATATATATATATATATATATTCTTTATTACTTTGTTAATGTTTTTTCTTAACTTTAATGTTGATCTTAACTTTTACTTTTTTTTCCCACAGTTTATATCTTAAAGTTCTGATTTTGTTGCTTGTAAAGATTTTTTTTAAAATAATTCTCCTAATATTTGAAAGTTTTTTGATAAAACATAACTTTTGTTTGACCAACTCTTTAGGGGTCGTCCATAAATTACGTCACGCTATAAGGAGGGTTGGTGGTTTTGTGATGACTCATTCAAAACTCGCTTCTTAAGTGTTACGATTTTGTGACGAGGGGGGCGGGAGAGTTCGAAAACGGTCAAAAATTGCGTGATGTAATTTATGGATGACCCCTTAGAGTGATTATAAGATTAGATAGTATAGAAAATATATTTGATTCTTGCTTTTTGAAACTTAAACTTAATGAAGTTTAATAATAAATTAATGCTCTATTTAAAAAAAAGTAAACTAGTCACTAGTTTTTTCCATTTGCCAGAAAAAATTCAAATCTGCCCCATGCAAATTCAAAGCTGCCCCAGGTTGGGGCAGATTTGAACATTTTTGCGCACCTTGCTGGAACGAGAATACTGACTTAACTTTTAACTTACAATTTATATAAATGAAGCAATTTTTTTCCTTAATGATTAGTTTAACTGTTCAGAACAAAAAAAGTTGTTAAAATAATTTTTTATTGGATTTATAATAAAAAGAGTAAAAGTGTTCAAAGGTGCCCCCCTCTCCCCTATATATTTTTATGATAACTTTAAACGCTTGAAACTATTATTCCATATCTTTCTAAATATCTTTTATAAGATTATTTTTTCAAGTTACTTTAAATTATGAACAAGTTAAATTAAATCCATGATTTAATTGCTTTGTTATTATTTTTTCTATTTTTACAAAGAATTGTTTCAAAGTTTTTTTTTAAACTTGACTTAATTATCAAAGCATGAAAAGATTAAAAATTGCTATTTTTTAAAAACTACGTTATTTTTTTAAAAATATTTTTAAACTTTTTGAAAAAAAATGCCTATATAACTTAAAAATTTTATATTTTTTTCTTTTCAATAATTTAATTTCACTTTTCAATAATTAAAAAAAATTTGTTCATTTATTAAACAATCAATAGAAGTAATTTGTTAAAGCGATTTGCTTAACTTCAATAAAATGTTTCAAAAGATAAGTTTTAAAGTAATTATTTTCAAATCCCATCTAAAAACATAACAAAAAATAATTTTCACTTTGAATTATTTGAGTTTTATTTTAAAGCAAATTTTTTTTTTTTGTAAGGAATTATTTTGTTTATTCTTTAGTTATTTCAACAATAAAGTATTTATTTTGTAGAACTCAATTCCTGTCAACCAAAATGTCTGATTACTTTTTAAATTGATTGGACAATCTAAGGTTTTAGCCGGACAATGTTGGATGTCATAGCCGGACAATGTTGGATGTCCGACCGTTAAATTGAGCCCTGATAACAAACAGTGATCATAACAACAAACAATGTTCATAACAACAAACAATGACTGTCATAAAAAATAATGACAAAAAAATAAAATAAAAATAAAACATCATCATAACTTTGACTTAAACAATTTTTACACTTCTATAATTTTTATAACTCACCATTTTTGGAATGAACTGATCTTCAAACTCATTATGCCCTAACTGCCCTGATGAACCACAACCAAAAGTATAAACCCGACCAGCCTATAAAACAACATAAAAATGTGTAAGATGTTTAAAGTAAAAACTGTTTAAATTAAAAACAAAAAATGTTGCATACAGATGTCAATAAAACAGAGTGTTCTTCTCCACAAGAAATATAACGCACATGTTTTCCATTCATTGACTGTATTTTTGTAGGAAACAATCTATCTATAAAAAATATTTAAGAAATTTACTAAACACGCAATAAACTATATAATACAATCAGTTATATTTATTATATAATACAAGAGTGCACAGAGAAAAAAGATGACAAATCAATATTTCCCTTATCTATACAAAGGAGAATATTACAAAAATTTCAAAGTAAACCAATGTCAACAATTATCAATTAGATGCTAATTTTTAAAAACACAAACTCTTCTTTTATGCTGAGAATTTCATAGCATATAACTCATATAAATAAATACAAAGCTTTTACAATTTTGTAAGACTCTGGAATAGTTTCAAAATGTTATTCATACAAAAGTTTATAACAATTCTTGTAAAAAAAGTTGGTAGACATTATTTGCACGCGGGTACAACTAATTTTTTCTTATTTGCATGCATGTCTTTAAACAGAGTTTAAATTTTATTTTTTAATTATACCAATTTTTTCAATGCGCAGTCAATGTATGTAAACTCCAATGGGATTACAGCTATATCAGTTGAATTATGTACACATTGATGCACTTATTGTATTAAACTTTAAAAAATTAAAATAAATAAAAAAAATAACTATAAATAAACAACAATAATAGTTAAAAAACATAAAACTTCTATAAAATAAAACATAAAAACTAAAAAGAAAAGTTCCCTAAGGGAGATTTGAAACCAGAACCCTTTCAGCAGAGTCTTCAAATTGGAGTAGTATATTCATAGTACAATGCAATATAATATTCACATAGTATTTACAATGCAATATAATATTCACATAGTATTTACAATGCAATATAATATTCACATAGTATTTACAATGCAATATAATATTCACATAGTATTTACAATGCAATATAATATTCACATAGTATTTACAATGCAATATACTATTCACATAGTATTTACAATGCAATGTAATATTCACATAGTATTTACAATGCAATATAATATTCACATAGTATTTACAATGCAATATAATATTCACATAGTATTTACAATGCAATATAATATTCACATAGAAGCATTTTTTGTACGCAAAAAATGTTTCTACTATGTGCACATTATATGTAAGCTGTACTATCAAAAAAGTTAACACAAGAATTCATATAAACGATAATAATAGAATTTGTGTTGCTTCTTAAAATTTTAGATCACACATATAAACTGTTAATAAAAATTACCTTGCTGATCTCCTAAACCAAGTTGGCCAAAGCTAATAAAAAATAAATATTATCTAGACATAATTGTATATAAAAAATATATATAATGTGTATATATATATATATATATATATATATATATATATATATATATATATATATATATATATATATATACATACATATATATAATTATAAAGGTTTTTCAAGTAGGACTTCAAAAAATTGATATATATATATATATATATATATATATATATATATATATATATATATATATATATATATATATATATATTTACAGGGAAATTTAACATCAACAAACAACAACACAAAATGCATTAACTTATCTAAAGATGACACAGATACAGAAAAATCCATGCTTCAATTAACAATAGTTTAAACAGCTTTATTAACAAAGAATACTGATATTTATTTTGGAAAAGCTTGTCATAAACTTTTTTTATTTTTTCCATGTTAATTCACATCCGCAAGGCCGAGAAGGCCACTACAGACGAGGAGGCTACTTAATTGAGGTTATAACCCTCTCTCAACTCTATAACTCCAAAACATGAACCTTGACAAACAAAGCTGCTACATGGAGAAACAAGTTGAGCGTGGTACAACAAGAGACGTGGTGGGGATTAAACTCAGAACATCTTGCTTATGAAGTGAGCACTTTACCACTACACCACTACCACACTTCAGTTAAAGAAACTTCTTGTACCAAAATTTTACTCTGCAACTTGTGAGATCTTAATTGACTTTTTTACTTTTACTTTTCTGTTAGTAATGCTGCCACCTTTTTAAAATCTGATACAAAAAAAGTTTTTGGTTGAACTCAACAAAAGCCACAGCTGATTTTGTTTTGCTGTTAAAATGGATAGATGTGAAAAATTTATCAAAACTTCTTACCCTCTCTTTATGATGGAGTGTAATTAATTTGTACAAATGATGAAAAAATTTAATTGTATAAATAATGAAAAAATTTAACTATGTATATATATATATATATATAACCAGACATATTACTCATGTAATTAAAAATGTAACTTTCAGTAAAAATTTGTAATTTTTTTTTTTGTATTTTTATTTATTTATGTATTAATAAATTAGTATAAAATCATTGATAATTTTTTTTTGTGTATGTATGTATATATAAATAAGTATCCGTATACAAAACTGTGCCCAAATGTAATCCCATACTGTTTGACTTATTTGGGTTCTTAAACTAATGTCTCCAATGTAAAGACTTCATAAAATATAAACCATAATTATGGTTTATGGAAATTATGGTTTATATTTTATGAAGTCTTTACATTGGAGACATTAGTTTAGGAACTCAAAAAAGTCAAACAGTATGGGACTACGTTTGGGTATATATATATATATATATATATATATATATATATATATATATATATATATATATATATATATATATATATATATATATGTATATATGTATATATATATATATATATATATATATATATATATATATATATATATATATATATATATATATATATATATATGTATATATATATATATATATATATATATATATATATATATATATATGTATATATATAACTTTTGTGCTCTTCAACAGCATGTTTCACCATCAAACATGTTGTTGAAGAGCACAAAAAATAGATAAGTGCTTCTACTAAATATTATTGCTCTGTTCTTTAAGAACATTGAGCACTCTATTTGTAGAATACACTAATATATATATATATATATATATATATATATATATATATATATATATATATATATATATATATATATATATATATATATATATATATATATATATATATATATATATATATATATACATATAAGTCATTAATTAACAGCAATTAAAAATTAACATCAGCTATAGTAAATAAATAAGGGCAGTTTTTTAACATCATTAAAAACATTTTTAATAAATGCAACCTAGTATAAAACAAATATTAAAACCTGTCATATAAATTATTAAAAAAACCTGTTTTTTCCCCAAGCAAATATTGTACCAGAAATAGTTAAAGCTAGACTGTGATGACCTCCAGCACAGATTTGTATTATTGGGCAATTAGATAAATCTCTTACTAACTGAGGTGAAACATATTTATGAAATTTTGAATTGATACCAACTTGTCCAAACTCATTGCTACCCCAACTAAACACATGTCCATCTGTATAGAAATAAAAAAGAAATATAATTAGTAATTATAAAATAAAATAAAAATTAACTGAATGAACCAAACCACACAGTACAATAGTGATGTACCGATACCGCTCTTTTGGCCGATGCCGATGGATGGGAAAAGGCCGATATGGATACCGATACCGATGAATTAACTAATTATTAAAATTTTGAAAATATTAAACCATACAACTTTAAATTATGTAATCTTTTTCATGGAATCAGTACTAGTAAACAAATACTTGGTCCCAAATTAAAGCCAAAACATTATTTTAAAAGTTATTCGAAAATAACTTTTAAAATAATGTTTTGAAAAAACTAAAAAATGTATAAAAAATATACATTTTTTAGTTTTATTTTACTATAAAAAGAATGCCATCGGTTGGAAAATCGGTAAATTAATAAAAAAAGGCTGGAACGGATACAGATTATGATTGTGCAAAAAAAGGTCAATTAAGCTGATGTTGATTAATCGGTACACCACTACAGTATACTGTATACCATATTTACAGTTAATATTTCTTTAGGATATATATATATATATATATATATATATATATATATATATATATATATATATATATATATATATATATATATATATATATATCATGGCCTACTATAACACAACCAGATATGGTGCCTTTGCATCAAATCCGGTCAAAGACTTAGTGGACCGATTTTATAAAGTTTTAAATTCAAAATCAAAACCTGAAGGTTATTTTGTAAAGACTGAGGTTTTGAAATTGAGGTTTAACTAATTTAAAATAATTTAAAAATAGAGAAATATGTTAGTAAAATTATCATCATTTCTTTTTAAAATGTACACATAAATTTAGTAAAAACAACAAAATCTATCAAGTAAAGATTCTTTTATTTCTCAAAGAAAAAATAAATACTATGTTGTTATGGATTTATTTATTTGTTTTTCATGGTTTGTCGAACTATAAAGGCAGCAACCTCATCATTTCTATTTTTTCCATTTTTAATCTGTTGCTCATTGTTGAAATACATGTTGGCAACAATTGTGTTTACCAATTTCCTTACCCATTCCTCATATTCTATACACATAAAACTGCTAGCGTTTACTTGATACATTTCAAGCACAGGATGCACATTTTATATTGTGGGAATACTTTAATAATAAATTCTTTGTGTCCAAAATTATAAACCCAGGCCTTGCGATAAAGCGTCGGGCGATGTGAATTTTACGTCGTCCAAGGGCGATTTTGCGTGTAGCTAGGGCTATTTGCGTCGAGCAAAAAATTTTTTGTTTGAATATATTTAAAGATATTTTTGAGCGGAATTTTAATGAAGTAATTTACGATTATTTTAACGTTTAATAAAGTATTTTAAAAACCGCACGCAGTTGAAATAAAAGTTTGAATTTAAAAAAATTAAATATGCTCATTATTTACAATTAGAAAAAATTCAAAAATTCAAAAAAAAGTTTAAATCTTTTAAGCTAACATTTTAATAAAATTATTCAGCAATAGCAACGTTGTCGATAAAATTGAACAAAAATACTTTCTTTTAGATTTTAAACTTAAATAATTATTTTATAGGGGTTTGATAGGTTTTAAAATTATTCCATAGATTTAAAAATATTTATTAACTGTTAGACGTATTTTAAGTATTTAAGAGTGATTTCGAGGAAACATTTTAAAAATTGGTCAGGGCAAATAAAAAAAAAAAAAGATTAATATTAAAACGTATTCTACTTGATTCAATAAAAAAGTACAGTTATTAAAATTTTTGTAAAAAGTAACTCAAAAAAATTACTTAAATAATAACGATCGCTTTTATGTTAAAAGTTACCGAAACTCATCGAAGCGTGCTCAAGAACAGCTGCTGAAAAATAGAACGTCAATAGTTTTTCGAATAATTTTTAAGAATAATTTTTAAGAATAATTTTTTCGCTGAAATATTTCTTTTATACCTATAAGATTTTTATTCTAACATTTTATTTTACTAGAAATAAAATTCCTTGTTAACATTAAAAATCTATTCAAAACGTTCGTTTAAGTTTTTTATTAATACGAGTGATTGTGCTTATCAACCGCTTTATGAAAATAAATAAAAATAAATAAATAAATATTATATAAAATCGCTTGTAAAAATATTAGCTATTGCACAGTTTTTAATCGTACAATATTAAAACTTCCAGTTTATTACTCGCTGACTTTTTAAAAAGAAAAAATAATTATTTGAAAAACTTTAAATTACATATTTAAGAAAAAAAAAATCAAATATTATCATATTTTATAATGTTTTTTAAATTTAAGTTATAATGTTTTTTATTCGTTTAGTATAGACAAAACGTGACAAACGTCGAGAAAATAAACAAATGTTTTTACATTTTAAAAAACGAAACATTCCAAAACATTTTTAAATAATAACATTTCTACATAAACGATTTAAAGTAGTTTTGTGGTAATTAAATAAATTGGTGCAGTTAATGTCGATAAATATGAAAAGCAAATAAAAAGAATTTAATGACGTCAAAAATCACGTCGTGCTTATGCGTCGCGCAGTTCTTATTCATCGCAAGGCCTGTAAACCCATTACAAACATAATTAGCTGACGATTTAGAAGATTTTATTAAACCACTATGTGACAGAATTTCAAGATATTCTGTTATGACTTGATTAAAACTTAATGATGTCAGACAGTTAGCACAGTTAGATTTATCCACAACTTTTTTTGTGATGTAACCAGCTACATTCATGGCAACTTCATAAGAGTCACGAAACAGCTCATTCTCCTAAATATTGTTCCTAAAGCTTTCTAATATTATTAAAAAATCATTTATCAATTTTTGTATCAGATTTCAGATTACTTACCCAACTATTGATTTGGCTTTAAATAAGGGTGTCCCGGATAAGCTATCCGGCTGGATATCCAGGCCAGATAGGAGTATTATTCGGTACTTCCTTTGAACTTCCTTGTGCACCTGAAGAAGATTCAATATTAATTTTTTTTTCCTCTTCATACAATTTACAGTGAAATTTTTTTGCGTTATTATACAGTGAAGTTTTGAAAAATGACTTCTGACCAGATTTATTATATCCCTTGCTTTCCACATAGAATAAAAATTGCTGTGAAATCATAGCTTTTAATAATTTTGAAAAGCTTCCAAACAAAACTTGCCGTTTTGAAGGTTTATCACGGTAATATTTAGTCATAATAAAATATATATTTTAGGATTTAATTTACATTATCCAGCCAGATAATTTTTAAATATAGGGGTATTTGATATCTGGTCGGATAAAAATATGTTATCCGGGACACCTCTAGCTTTACATAGGGATTTCATGCTTAATATCTTTTCAGAGCTTTTTAGTCAGTTGACTTCATATAAAGTGACTAAAAATCTTCCACCACTCATCTGAGGATTTTTATTGAAACGCCTTTCTAATGGATCAGTTTAAAATCTGCTAGTTAAAACAAACTTATATCGTTCTGAAAATAAATCTTCCACAACACTGGCATTACCCTTCAGTGTTGTAATTAAAGCATTAGTTGTTTTAAAAGACAAAGTATATTTATTACATCTATTAAATTGTAACTTTTTATATTCATTAATCCATGTAGCAAAATCTTGAAAAAACTGTGGCTTTTTATCACTTGAAATAGCTGCATTACCAATCATATTACTTGCATTAAACAATACCTTTGAATTAGAAATATTCCACCAAATATTAATAAGCTTTCAAAATCCAGCAGCTGCAGTTTCATTTGGAAAATATCTGATGATTGCAGCAGATTAGTTTTTTCAAAAATATTTAAAGAGGAGGTAATTTAAAAGCTTTTTTCATGTTAGCAGGTAACATAGACATTCAAGACAGCTTCAACATGAATAATATCATCAAACTCAATGAAATCGAAAGGTGAAAATACAAACTGTTTTGAATTTAATAAATTGTTCATAATATTTTTTAGTAAATAAACACTATCATATAAATTGTAAACCCTGTGTTTACAATTTATATGATGGTGTAACATTTAGGTAACGGAACTGGAATACCTTTCATATAAAGCTTTACATGTAAGTCATCAATTTTAATGTTCTACATGATAAGAGTAACAACAACCTTATAACTTCAAAAAATTAACATCAATTTAAAAAAAAATTAAAACAGTGAAAGACACAATCAAAGATTAACTATTTAGTGTGATGAGTATCAAGTTATCGTTAACAACTATAGCGGCAGAGGTATAATGAGAAATTATTTTTATCATTATTATTTATTTTGATCAGAAACAAAATCCAAAAGTCTTGAGAAAAAGAAAATATAAAACATGAAACCTGATTTCCGGACAAATAGGTAAATTAATGCATAAGTAAATGTTGAAGCCTAGTATGTGATTATAAGAGTCTTTGCTGATCAAAGTGTAATATTAACAATAATGCCTTTAACCCTCCTTTAGATGAAAAATCAGAACTTAGTTTTTTTCATGTGCTTTAGTTATCTTTTGTGATTAATTTTATGTTTAATTGTCCAATATTTAGTTCATGCTCATTTTATATGCAACAGGTCCCTAATATTGATTTTAAAATATTTTTTTTTAAAATAGATCAACTTAGTATTCAAATAAAGGGAAATCTTAAATAAATCCCAAAAAAAAAAAAAAAAACTTGAAAAACTAATAGAAATTCTTGTTTTTTTTTTTTATTTTGATATAAAAACTGTAGTTTTTCTGCAATAAAATCTAAAAAAGAATTAACACAAAAGATTACCACACCACATTATAAACAGCAAGTTTTGATTCTCTATCTAAAAAGGTTTTAAGGTATCATAATATCTATATAAACATTATATATATATATATATATATATATATATATATATATATATATATATATATATATATATATATATATATATATATATATATATATATATATATATATATATATATATATATATATATGTATATATATATATATATATAAAGAGAAAGGATATCTTTAAATTGTTGAGTGAT